CCGCCGGGGGCGGCGCTCAGGCGCCACCTGGCGGCGTTGGGGAGACCGGTCCCTCATGAGGGGCGGGCGCTGCCCGCGGATTAAAATGGATAAAGCGGGCGGCAAATGAGCGTCCCGACCGAGGGAGAGCGTTTCCGGACCTTTCCAGAGGGAAAGGAAAAGACCAGAAATTATTGAGTCATGCTTTGAATTGTGGGGTCTTCCCATCGCCAGACTGTCCAACAGAACATCGTGCGACAGCAGATTCGGGGCGGGATGAAAGACTGTCATTTTGCTAAGTTACCCTTCTTCCTGGCCCACATTTGCCCAATTGCTCTGTCTGTTTCTAGGCAGACGCCAAAGCGAGAGGTGTGTCAATAAAAACATGATTTAAAGAGGAGAAAGTCCTGAGGGCGGTCGTGGCATGGGAGCTGCGGAGAGGATCCAGCTCTGGAACGAGGGCAGGTCTGAGGCAGTGTCCTGGGGTAACTTTATGATGCTTCTATCCCCTGTCGCCTTGTTTATGTCACATATTAAGTTCTTCACCTTTAAAACTGACTCTGAAAACAAAGAGGGGGAAGAAGAAGTGCACAGTTTTGTGTTCAAAGCACTCACTCGCCTCCATCCTGCTCCTGGACTGGGTTGTCTGCAGCACGGACAGACAGCGGGACAGAGCTCTCCTTTGCTTTTAGTTAATTTTAGCTAACTGAAGCAGAGAAGTTCCCTGGACTTCTTTTTCCCTTTTTCTTAAATCTGTTCAAACCTACTCTGAACTGAAAACCCAAACAAACCTGGGAGCTCACGCCTGTGGCCCACCAGGCCTCGGCGCTTTCCAGTGCTGGAAAGACTAACAAAAACCTAAGCAAACCAAGTTACACCACATTAAAAAAACCTTTTTCTGAATTTGCCACCTCATCAAACAGCGAGAAGTTTTATTGTTTAACTTTATTCAATTCCTGTTAAATAAACATTTTTTTTTTCTACTTTTATCCAAAAAAAAAAAAAATAAAATCTTTCCCCAAAGCAGTTGGGGAAGTGGGGTTTTTTCTATAAAAACCCCATTCAAAAGTTGTCTCCAAAATTTACCCTAAACCAAGGAAGGCAGAGAGAGAAGGGAGAAGGACAGCAGAGGGTACAGACCACAATTAATGTGATCACATAATGTGTGATGCAGAGTTGTGTTTTACGTGTCCCAGCGCTGGCTGCTCTTGGGCTGTGATATCTGTTGGAACACACATTTTACAATAGTAAAAAAAAAATGAGTCATTAAGTCTGAAGGGCTTTTTCAGTGCTGCCTTGTGGAGAATGCAGACATACATGGTACAGCCTCCCTATTCACCACATGGCAATTAAAAAAAAAAAAAAAAAGATAGTGTGTTGGCTCCTAACAGTACCTTCTTTTTTGGTTTTTAAGGTGTCCATTCTCTGTGCTATCATTATAAGCTGCTCTGGTGTGTTTTCCATGTTTAGATGTCAGGATAAGGCAAAAATCTATAATGATCATTATTTTGTATTTTAAGGACTCTGAACAAAAAAAGTCACATTGTTTGGCTTAGGGGCCTTAAGCATTCTTGATATTTTGTGTGTGTTGTTACAGAGATGAAATATTAGAGTAGCAAAATACTATTTCCCAACACTTATATTTTAGAATATGTACATGTGCTTGTATTCTGTTGTACTTTCCTTTGATATGTATTTCAGAAAGGCAATAGTGCATTTCCTGTCTTCCTAATAACAACTGTAGCTTTTAATATGTCATAGCAAATTTTGCAAGTGTTATGATCAATACAAAACCAGCTTGAATCCTACCAGTCCTTTTTGTTTTAAAAAAAAATGAATTTCTTAACCATGTATATGTTGGGGTCTTCCTCCTGAGCCCACTCCTGCAAGCTGCTGAATGACAGAATCTCTGAAGATTGCAATGGAAAAGACAGGAAACAATCTCTGTTTATTTGTGTATTAGTACCACACAAGAAGTAACAAAAATCTCAGAAGGAATTGGTACAATTCCTCTATTTCTTCTTGGTACCTGGGACTGAGAGAATACCCTTCTTCCTATAGAGAAAGATACATTTATTATCAGAAGCAAGTTTTAATATAAACTTTAAAGCAGTTGTTCTACTGTAATGAAACTACAAAAATCTGTAGTTTAATAAAAGCTACTGTATGAACCAATGAACAGTTAGAATCTCTGTTATGTGTAGATGTACTAAATATGACAAATTGTTAAAGGGCTTTTTTTAAAGATGTATGGGATCTACTATACCAGAGTAGCTAGAATTATGAAGAAAAGTTCTGTTTCTGCTTAAACCTGGTAAACTCATCATTTTTATGATTTAAAAGAAAAAGCCATGGTGTCTTAAGGCATGGGTTGTTTCTTTTCATTTGAGATGCTGCATAAATCCACTGCATCCAAAGGAGTCAAGAGCTACAAATAAAACTCCAGTGGAGATTCTGCCAAACAAAGAAGTTTATGTATTAAAGAATATACAAACCCACAATAGTACAGAAATACTTGCTACATCCATGCCAGATTTAGTTGTTGCTGGAATTAATAGTCATATAATCAAGACAGAAAAAGAGAGAATTTAATTTTGTGCCAAAGATACCAACCACATATAGTCTTGTTTAAAAGCTTTTAAAAACAAGAAGTTACTATTTATAGATCTTGCACAAATTCTAGGTGTTGGATGGCAAACATACAAAAATAGCACATTTCAAGATATTAAATTATTTCCCAATGCAGAAAGAATGCTGTTATTGTTGATAATTGCTTGATTCTTGAAAGCCTTGTTCATAAGAGAAAGTGCATTAGTGCTTCTCTTGATTTAAGTATATCTACTTCTAGAAAGAAAAGTAAAATCTGTGAAGAACATCTACAAAGGATAGATTCCATTGCTCTTTGCCATTAAACATCACTTTTATTTACAGTTATTTGGAAAAAAAACCAATGATATTATTCAATTAATACCCCCCAGGAAAATTGAAGTTATAAGGCTGTGATTCAGTAAATCTTTTAAGCAGCTTTGTAATTTAACTTCACTGACTACAAGTGGTATATTTGTATTTTCTTTCTGGGGGTGTCATTCTCTCAACCACATTCAGTTAGCCCATGTAAATAATAAAGAATAATAAATAAATAATAATAAATATTAAATAAAAAAACATGGAGGATACCCCATGACTGTGCCAAGGTCCTCATTGCCCACACCTCAGGGTGAACAGTAACTGACTCTAATATTTGCACATCCTTTCATTTGAAGGTTGTTGGATATGTGTGGGTGACTCCTATTTTCTGTACAGAAATCACTTTTATATAGCTTGGTGTAAATGTTTACACTGCAGTGGGTACAAATCTCTATGCCATAACTTCCTTGAAGTCACGTGTTTTAAAAAGATTTCAGGACAATGAGGAGCCACATCTCCTCCTGCCACATCTATACAGTGTTTACAGGTTTATGCCTGGCAAATGTCAGTAAATCTCTTGACTGTCAGGGGGTTACAATTCTGGAGTAATCAAAATTATGTGTCATTACAGAAACTCCTCTTAAAATTACTCTCATGATTTTTAAATAGTTATTTCAAAAATCTGGGCTTCACTCTCTGTTACATTAGAATAACCCCATCAACTTCAATTATCTTAAAATAATATGAAGATCAGAGACTTATCATTGTCCACTTGCTGCTGTCTCTGTAATAGAACACTGTGGGCATCAGATTTAGCTTTTTTCTGTGGAAAATGATTTCTCTTTTATACTTTTAATAATGAGATCTAACACAGAATCAAAGTGACTTTTAAGAACATCCTATTTGTTCCTTTTTGATAATTTTTTCTTCCTAATACACCCTAAAAACTTTAACCAAAATCTCTAATAATGAGATCAAAACTATTTAAAATTAAAATACATGTCTAGACTATTGAGTTATGCCTCCTTCAATCATACTAAATAATACAAGCTGGAGAGCCATAGCTTCCAGCCAGGTCTTTTGTGTATTTGGAAAAGCTTTATCAGGCCTAAGCTAAAAACTGCATTAAATTACATGAAAGTTTTATTCCTAATGTGTATGACAGCATTTCATCTATAACCTTACCCAATTTCAGTCGTGGTTTGGATGTCTGTGTGTGTTATCCCCAGTGGTGAAATTTGCCATCTCTGTCCTGGATCTTCAGTCTTTAGTGTAAGGATATATCATGTCACAGCTTGAAAATTGTTTTCTCATGATAAAAAATGACTTTGAGAAAATTCACAATCAAAAATGGAAACATAAGAGTAACCA